GAGTACTTTTTGGTGTGTTAAGCATGTGAGACTCTTTTTGATCCTCAAAGATGTGAGACAGCTAAAGTCATTCATCTAGAGAGACAAGGAAAGAAGACTGAACAGTATCATGTTGTTAAACAGATTGCCAGTAGCCACGGTTTCCTTTCAGTTTCCTTTCGTTTGGGTGCGTTTTCTTTTGCTACATGCTTTGAAATCTTTCTTAAGTTTCATTTTCAGGACATGACCCTATCTGCTTACCTCTCAGGTAGAAACGCACACCAACCAAAAAGTTTCCTATTCCAATCTTCTTTCATTACTGCAAGTCTTACACATTCTCTACTTCCTCTCAATAAACACACACGCTGATGCTCTGACTGATGTCCTTCAGTGGGTGGCGTCACTCGTTCCCTTAACAAATAGTTAGAGCGTATCTGCAAGGTATCAGACAACCCACTACTGTAAGCATGTGGGTCACATCAATAAATAAAGAGTTCTATTAGAACTTACATGCTAAAGTAAGTAGAAATAGTTATGGTTACAGTTGTATATATGTACGAAAAGGGGCTTCGCAAGTGGTGCAGTGGTAAAAGTATATATATACAGTGGTAAAAGTGGTATGCAGTGGTATGGTACATGCAGTGGTAAAAGTATATATACAATGCACCATAAGTGATATGCAGTAAAGTAAAATGGTGGTGCACAAAAGGCACATTAGGATTGCTGATGGGGTGACAAGAGGGGTGTTACTGGGGTGTATGGGAAGGATTCACTGAAAAGTGAGGCCTGACTTGAGACTGAAAGTGGTGAGGAAGCTAGCCAAGAGCACACATGGAGAAGAGAACTCCAGGCAGAGTGGCAGAGCAAAGGTCCTGAGGTGACTGCACGTCTGACGTGTTCAAGGAACAGAACTGAAGGGGCCAGTGTGGCTGCAAAGAGCAAGTGACTGAGGCAGGTAGGTAAGCAGGCAGGCAGATTACAAAGGACCCTGGAGTCCACTGGAAGGCCTGCATTGTCAAATGCACTGTAAGGCTTTTATTCTATGTGACAGATGGAGTCGCTGCAGTTTTCTGAGTGATGTGTTAAAGTTCTCAGAAGGATCTCAGTGCAGCAGCAGTGCTGAGAACAGACTGTGGTGGGTAAGCTTGCAGAGAGGCAGGGAGACCAGTCAGGCTCATTACATGGCAACAGCAGGAGAAGTTTAAAGTGGTCAGATTCTGCACCGGGTCTCAGCTGTGGCATGCGGAATCTTTGATCTTCATTGCTGTATGTGGGACCTGATCCCCTGAACTGGGAGCATGGAGTCTTAGCCACTGGACCACTAGGGGAGTCCCTCTGGATGTACTTTGACGGCAGAGTCATGCCTTCCTAGCAGATTGAACAGGAGATGAGGAAGTGATAGGGTGGTCCAGGATGACAGCTAGTCCCTGGATGAAGTAGCTCTCAATCATTTTAAGATTTGAGTTTGTCAACCCAAACTGACACGCAGGTACAGGTATTATAATTATCCTGATTTATTTGACCTCGTTGAATTTTAAATTCTCCTTAGTCCTTCCTCCTCTTCTTCCACAAAAAAAGATCTAATCAGGTAAGACCAGTTGTTACAGATGGAAGAAGAGAAACCACAGATATGACCCAGTGACCCACAGCCTACCCAAGAAGGCAACCCCAGCCTAGTTATTATCTGATGGCTAGTCAAGCAACACTGGAAAGTTTCCACTTGTAATTTAATGGCTCCATGGCTTTAGGCAAGTCATTTCTCCTCTCTGCCTTGTTTCTGGTTGTAAAGTAAGGATGATATTGTCCCCAGGGTTACTGTGACTAAATGTTACTAAATGAATGAGTTACTAAATAAATGTTACTGTCACTAAATGTGACTAAATGTTACTAAACAAATGAGCTGATGTCAAGCAACATGTAAGTGTTGTACTTTGTTATCATCATTGTTGCTAAGTGTTTTTGTTACTTTTTTTTGTTACTTCTTGATCTCACAATAACTTTATAAGAAGTAACATTTATTTAGTAACATTTTCATTTAGCAACTTATTCATTTACTTAGCTAATGATGAGTCTAATTTAAATTTCTAAGACAGGAATAACCTAACATTGTGTGTGTGTCAGCTGCTCAATCCTGTTCCTCTCTTTGCAACCCCATGGACTGCAGCCCTCCAGGCTCCTCTGTCCATAGGATTCTCCAGGCAAGAATACTGGAGTGGGTACCATTCTCTCCTCCAGTGGATCGCATACACTAAATACAAAAGGAGGCAAGTTCCCCTTGGGCATCATGGAAGCCTAATACAATCACTGAAATTCTACAGATAAACATTACCTGCTGTATTTGGGTGTGGAAAACATGAACCTAGTATCCTTGGTGCTCTAAAGAAACTAACCTAACCAAGCTCTATGAATTTCTCTGAATATTCCAAGTCTAGCTATCGGGAAGGTCTTTCAGGACAGAAGAAATATGGTACTTAGGCACTTCAGCTTTTGTTATGTACTAAAATTAAGAACTCTTGAGACGCAGTTTTTAAAAGTTTAATCGTCTAACAATCAGAAGTTAAAATACAAATATATATACATATCTATACACTACAACTTAAACAAATCTATTCTTCTCTGCCAGCTTCTGACACAATGAATTCCCACGGAAAATGCCTCTGAACAACAATGACACTTCCAAGACTCACCCCAGCCAGTGATTTTCAAACCAGCAAGCATCTCAGAATCACCTGGAGAGCTTTACACATACTCATGCCAAAGCCCAGTCCTAGATTTCTGGTCTAACTGAAATCATTGAGAACAGCTGAGTAGGTAAATATTACAAGTATCATTGACTGAATGTGATAGACAGAGAGAACATTATTTAAATAGTGAATGAGTACTTCTGGGTTTAAATTAGCATCATAACTAGTGGGTTCTGGGGCGAGAAGACACTATAGCCCAGATAAGAAATCCTCTTAACCTGCTCTATAGTCTCTCAAACTATCCCAAAGCTCCAAAACAAGGACTGATGATCTTCCAAATGTTTTCTGAAAAACAAATGACCAAAACTTAGGACTTCTTCCAAATGAAAGAACACACAACACCATTCTACATTTTTCTGGCAAAATCCTTCTAAACCTTATTGCCAAACAGCTGATTACAGTTACTTTTATTTTCCCCTTTTCTTATTATAGTCATAACAGCATGCAGCCTGGGTCTAAGAAAAGTGAGTCTTCCTTTTCTTTGTATTGCTTTAATCCACTATTTAAAACAACGTCTCTACCCAATATTAGGGCACAACACAAAGGAGAAATTATTTCCAATGTTCCAACAATATATATGAGTAACGATATTCTACAACAAAGTCATTCATTCATTCCTTTATAATACAATAGTTACTCAGTCTTTATTACATGCTGGACACTTCTTTCAGGTGCCTGGGACCACAGAAGCGATCAAGACAAGTGGGACTTAATATCTTTCTGCTGTGCATGTGTGCTAAGTCACGTCATTCATGTCCCACTCTTTTTGATCCCACGGACTATAGCCCACTATGCTCCTCTGTCCATGGGATTTCCCAGGCAAGAATACTGGAGTGAGTTGTCATTTCCTTCTCCAGGGGATCTTCCCCACCCAGGGATTCTTTACCACCAGGGAGGGCTTTCCAGGTGGCGCTAGTTAGTGGTGAAGAACCCGCAGGTCAATGCAGGAAACTCAAGAAATGCGGGTTTGCTCCCTGGGTCAGGAAAATCCCCAGGAGAAGGAAATGGTAACCCATTCCAGTATTCTTGCCTGGATAATCCCATGGACAGAGGAGCCTGGCTGGCTACACTCCATGGGGTCACAGAGAGACAAGAACTGAAGCGACTTAGCACCCATGCACCCAGACAACCAGGGAAGCCCAGGTTAACATAAAGGAAGTCTAAAATAACAACACTAGAAATGTCATACTGAACCCTAATTCACTGTCTACTACAGACCAGATATTTTATTAGTCTCTCTTTACATATGGTACCCATTTAATAAAGTTGTTCTAAAAAGATGAATTTACTATTTACAAATTAAATGACGCCAAACAATGAAAAAATTCTTCCCCGTGGTAGAGTTTAAATTTGGCTTTGCATACTAGATGGAATGCGCCATCCTAAAAGTGACAAGAATGAATTATGACAGAGTTGTGCCAATTCATTCACACAAGAAATTTTTTTCAAATTAGTTCAACCACATCAACTGTGAAAAGAATCGGTGGTTTTAAAAAAAAGTCAAGATTTCATAAAAATATATTTCCAATTTCAAAATTTTTAAGTTGAAAATTACATAAACTGTATGATGCATAAACTACCCACCTATTAGATATTAAACCACATAAGCTTATTAATAGAACAGTACCAATAAAATACTATAAGACCAATAAACAATCATTACTAGATGCAGCGATCAGTCCTTCTAACTTCCTTTACAAATCCTAGTCCAGAAGTCACTGAAATCAATCAGAAATTCACAGGACTGTAATTCAACCTCAAGCAAAAACAAGGGGACTTATTCCAAAGCTGTCTGCAAATCACTGCGATAATACTGTAAAGAAAAAAATGTTAAAGAATTCAGGTGACGTTATTTGACTGCAATCTCTCAACATTCCCCCACCCAAAATCCTTTCTGTTGTTGGTATTTTGCGAGGGCCGTGTTTTTGTTTTTAAAGTAATGGGGTCAGGGCCAGCAAGTGGGCTCAATTCGCGAGTTTCCGGGGAGCCGACCCAGGCATTCAGTCCTCGGCCGTGCCCAGGGTCCCCATCTCCTTCGCCTCTCGGGAAACAGACAGGCTCACCCTTCCGCGCGCAACTCGACAGGCAGCTCCGCCGGACAGACAGCAGGAGCCCGGCCTGGACCCCGCCCCGGCCCGCTCTCCGGGGCGAAGACCCCGGTCTGCTCGCTGTAACGGGCCGAGAGCAACGGCCGCCGGGCGGGGCGCGGGGTGCGGGGCGCGCGCGCAGGCGGCGCGGGGCGTCGGAGGAATCAGAGCCCCCGCCCGCCCGCCTCACCGTCGATGTTCTCCCGGTCGCTGATGTGCTGCAGGTTGCAGCCCGTGTCCTCGCGACTCAGGTCGGTGTCGGGCCGGCAGGACTCCAGCCGCGAGTGGGCATTCCTGCGGAGTTTGGGGCTGGACGACACGCAGCACGAGGCGGTGTTCCCCATGGCTGGCGCCCCGGCCCCGGCGCGGCCCCGGGTCAGCAGCGGCGGCGGCGGCGCGGCCTCGCCATGGGCGGCCCGGCTCCCCTCGCCCGGCCCGGCGGCCTGTCCGCGGCGGAGGAGCGCCCGCGCCCGCGCGACTGCGGCCGCCCGGCCCGGCTCACCCCGCCGCCGCCATGGCGGGCGCCGCGCAACCGCCTCCGCTTCCCGATCGGCCCGGCTCTGCGCCGGCGGCCGCAAGCGGTTCCGGTTCAGGGGGCGCGGCCGTTCGGGATGCGGAGACGCGGGGGCGAAAGCAGACGGCGGGGATGCGAGCGGCCGTGGGCGACGAGAACGCGGGCGGCAAGGAGGCGCGGCGCTGGGCCCGGGCGTGGGCGGCCCGGGGGACGCTGGGGCCGGGCCCCGCCCTCCGCGCCCCGCCCACCCGCGGGCCGCCCCGCCCTCCTTGCCCTCCTTGCCCTCCGCGCCCCGCCCACCGGCCTCGCCCCGCCCTCTGCCCTGGAAGCGGATGCGGAGGAGGGGGCGGCCTCCCGCGCGCGCGCGCCGTAGGTGCAGTGGTGTCGCGAGGAACCAGCGCAGGGAAGAGAGGTGCGTGCGGCGCCTGGGCCGCTGGCAGCGGAGGAGGGGAGTTGGGGTGGAGGGAGGGGATTTTTTTTTTTTTCCTCCTTTAAACTCTCAGAGGTTAGAGTTAATGGGCAGGGTTGGGGCGCTCTCCCGTCCTGAGCCGCCCGTCGTCTGCCCAGAATGCACCTTGGGCCGGGGCGGCGCCGCGCTCCCCGCAGGTTTATCGTCAGGTGTGCCAGGCTCTCCTGTTCACCCCACCACGCAGTCGGCTGTGGGTGCGGGAATTCTGCAGGGTGGTCCCCATCCTGCCTCCCCCCCCCCCACACACACACACACGCAACGCTGCCCCCTCGCCTCTCGGAAAGACAATATAAGGCAGCTAAAACAACCCTTCCCCCCTTTCCAAATGGCCGGGGAGGGTATCCTGAGACCGGGGACGGAATGCTTTAGCGGGTAGAACCTGGCGTGACCCCATTCTCCATACAAGGAAACTGAGGCCCAGAAACACGACGTGTCGACGCAGGTGCTAACTGGTAACAAAAGGGAGGAAATACTCGGCATCCGCAATGTGTGGACAGCTTGCCAGAGGCACTGTAAACATGATCTTGTCTAATTCTGAACGAGTTTATTCTTTTTTAAACTTGTGTTTCCCCCTGTGTCTTTTTGTTAGTCCATATTTTAAAAGCTCCATGTCTGAAGTGTAGTTGCCGTTTATTGGGATAAGTGGTAGGTGTCCTTGTTCTGACTTGCCCAGCTGTGCCGTCCCCAGCCCACCTGCGTCTCTATCCGCGACTGTACTAACGGGGGACTGATGGGCGGCCAAACATAAGACGATTTACACCCCTCCCCTTTACCTGTGAGTTTGCAGCTGGTGTCATATCGTCACTAATTCTTTTTAGTATGTGCCTGAGCGGCCTCTTTCCCTCCTCAGAAGAGATTTGCTAAATAAACTGGGAGATAGTATACTCTTAGAACCAAGCTAGTATACTCTTAGATCCAAGAAGACGGAAAATTAGAACAGAGAATGCATTTGTTAGTAGCCCCAGATGCCCCACCCATTGGTCATGAAAATATTCCCCAGGAAATTAGGGAACAGGTGGATCCTGTGGTTTGGAACTGTATCGGTACCAGGAAAGGCAAAGTTTGTTCCCCGGATGGAAATAGAGGTCAAGCCTGTGGGAAAATACCCCTGGTAGAGGCACTATCTTTTAAAGCCTGAGACCTTGGCAGGGAGGAGGGGTCGCAGATCAAACTGCTGCTCTCCTCACCAAATTCCTAAAACACAGGCCCACTGAGCCCAGTCAGTCCTATTACAGCACTCGAATTCTCCCATCCAAAAAGCCTCACAGGGATACGGTTTGGCCTCCGTTTGTACAAGACTTATGGGTCATCCACCCAATTTACCCATTGGTGCCTAACCGAGACATACACCCAACTCACCTAAATGCCAGGGGGTGCTCAGTACTTCTCTCTCCTAGACCTCAAGGATGCATTTTTCTTTATCCTCCTTCATTCAGACTCTCATACCTTTCTGCCTTTGAACGGAAGGAACTTGATACCCTGGAAGCACTTGGATAGTGCTTCCCTGGGGCTTTCTGGAGAGCCCCGATCTCTTTGGAAATACATTAGCAAGAACTGGTGGAAGTCAGCCTGTAATGTGGAGTGCAGTGTTCCAGTATGCTGATGACCTGTTAACTGTTGTTCTGTCACTAAATTGTGTCTGACTCTGCGTCCCATGGACTGCAGCACACCAGGCTCCCCTGGCCTTCACTGTCTCCCAGAGTTTGCTGAAGCTCATGTCCGACCATTAATAAGTTGTGAGATAAGGCAAGATTCAGATCAGAATACTGTTAAGGTTCCAAGTTTCCTGGCAGAAAGGGGATATAAAGTCTCCTCAACAAAGCCTGAGCTTTTACAACAGGTTCAATGTTTAGGGTTTGTTTTGACCCGCTGGCATAGATCAGAAAACAGCAGTTTGGGCATTACCACCTCCAGCCACAAAGAGACAACTCTGAGGCTTTCTCGGAATGTCTGGGTTCTGCCATATCCAGATTCCAAGTGTGGCCTTATATATGAAGCTCTGAAGGGAGAAAGGGAACCCCTTCAGTGGAGTAGGGAGCATCAGTAGCACTTTGAGACTCTAAAGACTGAGTTGAGCAAAGCACCAGCACTGGGGCTTCCAAACTTAGACAAACCCTTCACCCTATCCGTGAGAGGGCAGGGACAGCACTAGGAGTCCTGACCCAAAAATTGGGAGCAGATCAACGGCCAGTGACTTACTTCTCAAAACAGTTCTACTCAGTAGCCTTGGGATACCCCAGCTGCCTTCAGGCGTTAGCAGCATGGCCCTACTGGTCAGTGAGGCTTGCAGGCTCACCCTGGGACAACATCTAGATGAATTAACCCTTCATCAGGTGCAGTCTATGTTAGAAGCCAGAGGATACCATTGGTGAACCAGAGGGAGGTTAGCAAAATACCAGGCTCTTCTAATGGACGCTCCTGATATTACTTTAAAGGTGTGCCAAGCCTTAAACCCAACACTTCTCCCAGCTGTTGAAAATGGAAATTTATTGCATAAGTGTACAGAGACAGTAAAACAAACTTATTCTGTCAGATCCAGTCTTCTGGGTGAACCCCATGACAACCCTAAGGCTGAACGGTTCATTGATGGGAGTAGTTTACAGAGATGGGAATCCAGATGGCAGGCTGCTACAGTTAAGGCTTCCCTGGTGGCTTAGATGGTAAAGAATCCACCTGCAATGCTGGAGACCTGGGTTCAATCCCTGGGTTGGGAAGATCCCCTGGAGGAAGGCAAGGCAACCCACTCTAGTGTTCTTGCCTAGATATCCCCATGGACAGAGGAGCCTGGCAGGCTACAGTCCGTGTGGTCGTCATGGGTCGGACACGACTTTGAGACTAAGCACAGCACACATAGTTGGCTTGTATAAAATCATCGAAGCCAAGGCCCCACCACCTCAGACTTCAGCCCAGAAAAATATTTTTACTGATTCTAAATATGGATTTCATGTGATACGTACATGCTCATGCTGCCATTTGGAGAGAGACAGGAATGTTAACTGCCAGAAATTCTGCCACAAAACATGAAGATTTACTCTTAGCTCTTTTAGAAGCAGTGCAGTCCCTGACCCAGGTGGCAGTAATTCCCTGTAAGGGCCATCGGAAAGACAGGTCCTTTATAACCCAAAGAGAACAAAGCTGATCAAGTCCCTAAACACACAGTGCAGTTGCAGAGCATGACCAAATCATGGCCCTAGTTATTGTCTCCCCACCCTGAACTGGCCTGCCTTCCCCAGTGTTCCCACAGGAACAGGAGGATGCTGAAAAATGGGGCTATAAGAAAGCTAGAACAAGCTGGTATAGAAAGCATGACAAGTTTCTTATCCCTGGAGCCTAACAATGAAGGCTCATTAGGGCTCATATGATGCCACTCCCTATGGGAGGAGTGCACTATGGGACTTGATACTAAGGCCTTTTTCAGGAAAGGGGCTTAAAGGAGCAATAAAACAAGTGACCCTTGCTTGTGATTTGTACCCCCGTAATAATCTGCAAGCCCATGCAGTCCCTGGTTCATTACTCAAGCCAGTTCAACACCGGTGGACAGACCTGGGAGAAGACTGGCAACTGAACTTCACTCAGATGCCCCCACAGTCAGGATAAAAGTATCTTCCTGTGTCCATCAATACTTTTACAGGATGGGTGGAAGCCTTCTCCAATCTGAAAAGGCCACTGAAGTCTGTGAGTCTCTTTTAAAGGAGACAGTTGCTTGGGTTGGACTTCTAAAATCCCTCCAGAGCCATAATGGGCCCTCCTTACTAGCAAAGGAAGGCCTAACAAACACCTTGGGGATTAGCTATAATCTACACACCTCTTGGCACCTCCAATCTTCAGGAAAAAGTAGAAAAAAAATGAGCCATACTTTAAAGAAAACTTTAACAAAACTTTGCCAAGAGACTCATGAGTCCTGGTTCCTTTTGCACTCCTCAGGGTGCACACAGGCCCCAGGGTATCCTGAAGTTTAGCCCATTTGACATGACCTAGCAGAGACCCTTCCTTACCACCAGTGTGAGGAGTTGAGCCAGTGCATACAATGTACTGTTACCCTGGAACAGGTTCACGAAGCGGCCTTGGCGAGCGCCAACAAGGTACCACCAGCGCCCACTAGGGCTACAACAGAGGGGGCAGCTTCTTTATGAGTTAAGTTTGGGGACCAAGTTCTTAAAACTTGGAAGGAGGGATCCCCTGAAGATCAGCTACCAAAATGGAAGGGCCTCTATGGAGTAATTTTAGCTACCCTTGCTGCCAGTGGACTACAAGGAATACCTAGTTAGGGACATTTAACTAGATTAAATCTCTTGCCTCCAAAAACCCCACAGGCTACAACGGAAGAACACACGTGTGAGCCAGTTGAAGACCTGCGATACTTAGGCAGGAGACAAGCAGCACTAACAGATGAGTAAAAAGTGATGCACTAGGCTGGACTTACGGTTGCTAATTTCGTCATTGCATTTTTGCTCACATATCCCTGGTTTGCTCAGCCACCCCCACCGGATAAGCAGCTTTTTTGGACCCTCGGAGTCTAGAAGACCAGAACCAATGACAGGATGGGAAACATGGACCCTTCTCCTGGCCCTTCTCGTAAGGAGGGGTTGGGGACAAAACAACGAGGAGAGGGGAACCTGGAGAGAGAACACAGTCGTCAACTTCTCCAGCATTTTGGCCTCAGGAAATAATCTCTCCAATTGTTGGACCTGTCATCCCCACCCACAAGAGGGGGTTCCTCAGCTCCAGATTGTGCCTGTAGATGAGGATGTTAATCTCACCCTGACTTCTGAACCGGTTAGGAACACGCTGCTTCTAATAGTGAATCTTGAAGATCATGAGGAAATGGGGTGTGTAGAACTTACAGACCCTTGGAATCAAACGGGTCTCTGGATCAAGCGGCCCTTTCTCTGCACAGGGCAAGGAAAACCCTGTTGCCCCTGCCAGACAGATGCCTGCCTTATTGATGCGGGAAGCTCGCTGTCTATTTATCCGATGTCATTTTCCACATTAAGCTCCTCCTGCACTCCTAACCAGACTCACTGGTGTGTGGACCCATCTCTGCTCTCCCCAGGCACCCAGCCCAACACATCTTGTACGCACTGGAAAGGAACAGCAGCCCCGGCCTGGAGGCTCACCTATCAGACCCCCTCTGCCTTCAGCGACGAGGAGGAAATAGAGGAAAACTCGGAACTAGATGGGGGACCACTAGACGGAGGGCCTTTGTCCCCTAGATGCAGTAATGCCCCTCGCTGGGGTGCCCTTTTACGTCGATGGTTTAATTCTACTTCACCCCGCCAAGCTTGCACCCCTGCCGGATATCTGTTCCTCTGTGGTCCACCGCAGAATAAACTACCCTTTGAAGGGAGCCCAAATTCCTCCTTTTCCTGGCCTCTCCGAGCAGTGGCCTACCCCTGCTTAGACAATGTCCACTTCCGAGGAGAATGTACTCTGGGCCGATTGGGCACTAAAGGACTAGGCACCACTGCATATAGTAATGCCACCTCTCAAAACAGACATAACTGGGCACTCAGACTAGTCCTGGCAGGAATTGGGGTGGCCATAGGTCTGGCTGCCCCTTGGGGAGTTTCACCTATCACGAAACAATCTTAAGAAACCTCACACAGGCCATTGAAAGCCTGGTCTCAAAAAACCAGGTGATGGGAATTCTGGTGGTCCAGTGGTCAGGACTCCATGCTTTCACTGCCAAAGGTGTGGGTTCAATCCCTGGTCAGGGAACTAAGATCCTGCAAGATATACCTGGTGCAGCCAAAAAAAAAATTAACAACTGGTGATGCCTTTAAGGGGTCTCCAAGAGTCCCAGATCCTTAGCCAATGTTGTGTTTGACAATAACCCTGGGTCATCTGGATGAACAAGGGGGTGTCTATGCAGTGATTAACAAAACTTGTAGAACATGCATCAGCAACTCAGAGGAAGTTGAAGTAAATACTCAGGAAATTTATGAACAAGTTAAATGGCTACATGGGTTCAGCTGCCCCACTGCCCAAACTACAGGGGACACAGTCAAAGGTTTCATCCTGTTCCATTCCTTGGCTTCTGCCTCTCCTGGGCCCTCTAGTGGTGGTAGTTCTTTTGTTATTCAGAGCCTGCCTGTTTAATCTTTAGTTAGATTTGTGTCTTCCATGCTTCAACAGTTCCAAGTGAGGCTCCTGATGGCCCAAGGATTTAAACACATTCCTAGAAGGTGACCCTGGTCCCTATAGGTCTTTGGAACAGTCAGCGAGGGACTTCTACACCTCTCAGCTAGGCTAGGGTCTCAAGCAGAAAGAAGCTCCAGAAGAAGAGACATTCGGCTCCTTGACCCTTAAGAACAGAAGGTGTAGAATCCCTCAAGGGAAAATGAGGTCAGCTGGGATCTTGGGTCATCTGCCAGGACACCTGCCCCAGGACAGTGCCTCCTTGAGAAACAGGAAGCTGGCATCCTTAGTCTGACCAACGGGTGAAGCTTCCTTAAACATGGTGCTGAAGGCCATAAGTTAACCACAAGTGATTAAAGACAACCTCACGCCCGTGCAGTAGGGCGATGTTGACCACCACACACCCTTCCTGGTGGTGGTAGTCGGCAATCTGCCGTTTTGAAGTGCTAATGCAGAAAGCAAAAAACTGCACAATTCATGCATGTGGCACTGCCAAGGAGGATGGACAGACCACCTGAGCCATGCCCCCTGCCTGGACTGCAGATCCATTCTCACCATCACCCCATCTAAGGACCCAGGGAGCTCTTTGTGAAGGAGCAGGTGGGCAAGGACACCTGATTCTTGCCTTTGTTCCCTTGAGCTGCAGTGTGAGCCCCTATAAAACCTTGGAAATTCTCATCTGGCCTCTTGTCAATTTCTATTGATTAAAAAGTCCAAGGGCCCAGGGCAGTAGCACTGGGAAGATAAATGACAGCAAAGTGCTAATGCCAAGATGAGGAAGGAAAGGTCTAAAGAACTGCAGTCCCATAGAGGTGGGGAGGTAGTGACAGGATGAAAGTATTTCTCTTTATTAAGGCAGTTCTGACTCTTTTGCTTCCCAGGCAAGTTTGACTGGGATGTAACTGCAAGTCAGTAAGTATTCAGATTTTCAGGGCTGCAGTGCATGGTTACTGTGTGATCTGTTCCAATTGCTGCTTTGTGATTTGGGTGCTGTGTGAAAGGAAGCTTGCAGTCATTCAACCATATGTGTGCAGCATGCCCATGCAGACACATGAACTTTTTATTTAATCATAACAGTTAAAATATTTACATTAATGATGTGGGCTGAAGGGCTTACAAGGAGACACAGAATGGCACATAAGAGACAGCATGACTTGTGCACACTTTCTGTGCTGAAGAGTCATTGGCAGAACAGAATGGCAGTGTCAACTGAGAACACCATCTGGGGGAGCACTTAGACATGACCAGGAGGCAAGGTGGCCACAGGCTGTTGCCCAGTGATGGACAGCCACTCATCTACAGGGACTTTTCTGCACTTCCCACCCCCATCTCACCTCCTTTAATGTTCCTGCCATTCCCCTTAGCAATGCATCTGCGGGGCTTATTCAGGATATGACTTTGGGTTAGCAGGCTTGGAAAGGAAAGATAAGTACGAAGGCCTCATCAGTAATTTTCCAGAGTGGCAACCCCCTCCCACCAAAACACACACACATGAAAATCCTCAAGACAGAAATGACTCCTGTTTGACACGTGGTGAGAGTTCCAGGAAAGGCCGCAGAAGCTCCTGATCACTAAACCTGTGGAAGGTCACAGTACAGAGAAATGGTGCCAATATGATGATGAAAGTTGTCATTTATTGAACACCTGCTGGATATTAAGGTGTTTTGTTTTGTTTTTAACAACCAAGCCTATGCTTTTATCCTCCATTTTACAAATAAAGACACTAATTCTGATCATTAAATCTGTGGCAGGTCACACTACTGAGAAATGGCCAAAGTGGGGATCTTATCTGCAAGATACCCTCTCAGCCACCTCTACCCCACCCTCCTGCCCCATCTCCAGGAATCACTGAACAGGAGGAGCTCAGGAAAGCAGATTGGAATAATGAGAGAGGATTCTGCAGATGTTTCGAGTGGGAAAGAGACCCATTCTAATGAGCCTTGCTTCTCTCCTTTCCTCTTTTTGAAGTGGTTTGGGAGTGACTGTTTAGGACTAGTTCTAGACTTGAAGAGAGGGGAGCCTTGTTATTTCTGTGGAACTCAGCCCTCCCGACCAAAGGCAGCAAGGTTGAGAAGCGTTATTCAGGAAAAACCCATGCCTTTAGCCCCAGCATCTGCTGTGATGTAGCCCTTGGAAGTCTGAATGCAGGAGCACTTTCTCACATGGACCTGACCCAGGTGTGGGGCTGGAGTGGGCCAGGGGAGGTAAGCAGTGCAGCCTGAGACCCTGTCTTTGAACACTCAGCCTTAGAAAACGTCCAGCTGGATCAGCTAACTCCATCCTGCTCTCTGAGCAGACAGAAGTACTTGGCAATTTTTTTTTCCCTTTATCTCCATAATCACTGTTGAAGGTTTTGGTTGTTGTAGAGAAGTAAATATGAAACTTGGGGGGATAGCTTAGTCAGTGCTCTTCAAACTTTTTAGCTATGGAAGCTGGGTTTTTTTCAGCAGAATTTTGAAAGGAATCAATATTGAAAACATGAGAATATCACTGTCAGCTCAAACAATTTATAAATATCTGTTTATAAAAAGAAACCACCTCATCTGAATCAGGGAGCCATAATTACACAACAATATGCAAATTACATAATTTGCACAACTCCCTGAATCACCTCTTAGAAGACAGAAAACAGTGAGCCAAGTTAACCCAGGACGTGGACCTTTGGTCAAAAGAAGGAAAATGGCCCCGAGCTCAGGCTAAATGCCTGCTCAGAGTGTATCTGCTCCAACCGCCTGGTGGCCAGGTCCCATGTCAGTCGCTGGTGTTTATGAGGCTGCTGTGGGGTAACCAAGACCCTCTGTTGTGCCACCAGTGCTTTCCTGTCACTTTATTTTCCAATGACCCCTCCCCCTCCAAAAGAGGCCCCTGGAAAATGTGATGGTGACCAGCTACGGGGGAGGTATAGACTCTGACGGCAACTTGACCTGGACCAACGTAAAGTGATTCATTTATCCGTAGAACAAAGCTCCAGGGTTATTTTCTCTACAATTGAGGTGAGTTAGGAAGTAAGGGAGCCCACTCTACCTTGCGATTGATTGTTGGTGTACATCCTAAGCTGCAGTTGTTTGCAGAACATTCTAGAATACTTTAATGCCTTGAACTGTTTGTAACCAACGAGTAGTAACTCAGGTTTAAAGATGCAACTAGTGAATAAGGGAACTTACAGTTGAAAATGTGGCCAAGATTCATTCCCTACCAATCCAGTTAATTTTTTAAAAGCCTTAAATAACATTAGCAATCTCAGTAGTCTTACATTTTAGTGATTTTCTGAAATATTCACTGAAGTGTCAAATGTACATGCAAAAGCCATTGCTTCATTTGCCTGTAAAACAGATGAATACCTTCACCTAGATAGAAATCATTAGTCCAGCCAAGTATTATTGGTTAGTATAGAATCTGTACGGAATAGAAGTCTCAGAGCCAGCCACCAAAAACCTAGTGTCTCTAAAAAAGACTTTTCAAAAACCAAGTCACCTTAATTCCAGGCCACCTCCTAACGTTGCTGAGGAAACCAGGGTACTAACCTGCAATTTTGGCTGAGTTTGTTGCACAAGCTACCCTCCAGGCTTCACAGCCCACTGCCCATTAAGACATAACACATTTATTAGAACCAAAAACTTTCTAGGGAGAAGATATTTAGCACTGGAAAATAACAGGACCAAGGCTCACCTGGTAGCAGAAAGCTCCAGGGCAGGAAATTCCAGTCCCAGTTCAGCCCCTTACATGATGTGACTGCAGGGACTTCAGGCTCACTGCCCAGTTTCCTCACCAGGATCCTGAAATGACAACACAGCCGACTTCACAAAGGGGCCAGGATGCGGCGCAAACAAAGGACAGCAGCACTTTTCCCATTTCAGGATGGGAAAACATTAAAAAACAAAAGATGGGCAAGCGTAACTTCATTATGTGAGATGTCCCCACACACCTCTGCCGTTTTAACTATCCGGGCACTGTGTTCAGTCATGTCCAACTCTGCGAGTCCAGGGACTATAGCTCGCCAGGCTCCTCTGCCCATGGAATCTTCCAGGCAAGAATACTGGAGTGGGTTGCCATTTCCTACTCCAGGGGATCTTCCTGACCCAGGGATCAAACCCGCATCTCCCGCATCACCTGCTTTGGCAGGTGGATTCCTTTACCACGTGCCACCTGGGAAGCCTGTTAACTATCAGTGACTTATTTAGTCTCAGCCTCAATACCTTCTGTTCAGGTCACTCTGGATTCCCTAACCTTGGCTTTGATCTCTGATGGTGAGCCCTGACTAAGCTTTCCGACAGCCATTTCATCTGCCTTCCAGCTCACCCTCCATCCCCAGCACCCCTGGCCTGGCTTGCACAGGCTCAGCACCATGCCTCCACCAGCCACCTCTGGACATCCCTGCCAGCCCACCAGCTATCAACAGGGTGGCTGCAATGGTTCTTGCCCAAGATAAAGGGCACACCTCTCTCTGACCACCG